CAAAAAAAAAAAACAGAGTGAGCTGGGCGGGGAGCAGGTCCGGCTCTAGCCCCGGACCTCCTGCCGGCAGGGATCGCGGCGACCCCCGGCGCAGGAGGCCTGCGCGCCTGCCGCCGGGGGCGGCGAGCGGCTGCCGCGAGGGCTCCCCGCAGGGCGCGGCGAGGCGCGTCCCCGGCGAGCGCCAGCTCGGCTGCGGCAGCGGCCACCGATCAGGAGGAGAAGAAACACACAGATACAATTAATCCTCGATTCCCCAGAATATGGGAAAATATGGGAAGTGGGGGGGAAAACAGAAACCCAGAAAATATAGGAAAATATGGGACATACTTTTATTTGTGTGTATTTATTTGTGTGTCCTGGGGCCCCTTCAGCCGAGAGCGGCAGGGCGAGGAGCGACCACGAGCCGCTCCGGCGGAGCGCGAGGTGGGCACGAAGCAGGTCCCGAGGGCCAAGAGTTCAGTCGGGCCTGTCCCCCTACAGGGGGATCTTCGGCGAAAAATGAAAAATACCCCAAAAATGATCCAAAAATGGTCTGGGGGCTATTTTTTGAGCATTTTTTGACCCTTTTGGTGTATCTTTGGGGTATTTTAAATCTTTCGTCGGAAATCCCCCTGTAGGGGGACAGGCCCGACATAAGCCAAGGGACGGGCATCAGGCGCTGCTTGGCGACTCGGCTGGCACGCCGCGCTGCGCCCTGATGCAGCGTCAGGCGAAGGAAATCAAGAGCCGCCCCGAGTAGACGCCACGGCGCGCGGAGCCTTCACGAGCATCAGCCCCAGCGACCGAACGGCGCCGGATGCCGCGCAGAAGTGGACCGAAGCTGCGATGAGCAAGTGCCAGGATTCACCTGGAGGCGTCTACGCGGCCCACGACGTGAGCTTGACGGCAGCCGCAGGAATCACTGCAGAGCGTGGGAGACATGAGAGGTTGCGCGCAGCGCGCCAGCGGGCTGCCCCGCTGCGGGCGCGCAGGCCGCAGTCGGAAGGATAGCTGACAGCCCAGCACCCTCGGATGTCGCAAAGACGAAGAAGCCAGCGTCTGCTCTGGAGCAGGTCGAGCTTGCATCCTTGCGCCAAAGGAGAAGCGCTGGGAAGCGCGCACTTCATTTTGAGGACCGGACGACAATACATATAGCAAATTTGTCCGCTCGACACGGGATTTGGCAACCCTGTGTTGTTCAAGAGAAGAACGACTTGTATACGCGCTGGTCGCTGGAAGTATGTATTTTCGGATGTTCACATCCCAATCTACTGTAGGCGCATCCCCACTTCGAGGGTCGAGCGATTGTTGTCCCTCTTCTCTCCTCTTCAGGGGACGGGCAGACGCCCAATCTACTTCCAACGTCTTCCTACTTACTGCTTCTACCCACGTTTCCCCACAGACTGGCATTTCCCAACCATCCTGTGCTGTTGGGTCTTCGTTTTTTTGTTATAAAAAAAGCGCCCCGCGTTCCTCCTCCTCGCCCCTCCTCCAGATCCGCCCTCCCATCCCTGCCTTTGCCCCCCGCGCGTCTACCATTTCAGCACACCCAGCACAGCGCGTCGTGGACATGTAGGAAGCTCCACCGAAGGCCCCAGCGGCTGTGATCACATGCGCCCGCGCCACCCAGCGCAGCGTTTCGTGGCCCCACAGGGAGCTCCACCGACGGCCCCAGTGGCTGTGATCACATGCGTCTGCGCCATCTAGTAGAGCACTTCGTGGCTTGCCCCCAGGGGACTCCACCGAAGGCTTTGGCGGCTGTGTCCACATAAGCCCCTCCCTGCTCATGTCGGCATACCCTCACACGTTTCGTGGCCCCACAAGGAGTTTCGCTTCATTCGCCCCACAGCGCTTCGTGGCCCCAGAGGGGGCTCCACCGACGGCCCCAGCGGCTTTGATCGCATGTGCCCGCGCCATCCAGCACAGCGCTCCGTGGCCCCATAGGGAGCTCCACCGAAGGCCCCAGTGGCTGCGGTTTCACGCGAACACGCTGCCCAGCACGGCGTTTCGTGGAACTTTACGGAGCTCCACCGACGGCCCCAGTGGCTGTGATCACATGCGCCCGCGCCACCCAGTACAGCGCGTCGCGGCCCCATATGGAGCTCCACCGACGACCCCAGCGGCTGTGATCACATGCGCCCGCGCCACCCGGCACAGCGCGTCGTGGCTCCATAGGGAATTCTACCGACGGCCCGAGTGGTTGTGATCACATGCGCCCGCGCCACTCAGCAAGGCGCGTCGTGGCCCCACAGGGAGCTCCACCGAAGGCCCGAGTGGTTGTGATCACATGCTTTCGCGCCATCTAATACAGCGATTCGTCGCCCCAGAGGGAGCTCCACCGAAAGCCCCAGTGTCTATGACCACATGTGCGCGCGCCACCCAGCGCAGCGCGCCGAGGCCCTGTAGGGAGTCCCGCCGAAGGTCCCAGCGCTTGTCATCACATGCGTCCGCGCCACCCAGTACAGCGCTCCGTGGCCACATGGGGAGCCGCACCGACGGCCCCAGCGAGTGTGATCACATGCGTCCGCGCCATCCTGTACAGCGCTTCGTGGCCCCATAAGGGAGCTCCACCGAATGCCCCAGCGGTTGTGTTCACATGCATCCGCGCCACCCAGTACGGCGTTTTGTGGCCTGACCCAAGGGAATTCCGCCGGAGGCCTCAGCGACGGTGTCCACATACGCTTATTCGCCCATGCCGGCATAGCTTCACGCGCCTCGTGGCTCCACAAGGAGCTTCTCTCCGTCGTCCCACCTTGTCTTGCGGTACTCACAATTGCACATGGTTGGGTCTTTCGCTAGGGTACTTTTTCCCCCAACTGTTCTGTGGGTCCTCGTCTTGAAGAGGCTGCGCCCCGCGTTCCTCCTTCTCCTTCTCCCTCTTCTTATTCCCCCCCTCCCACCCATGCGTGTGCCACTCGCATGTCCACCGTTTCAGCGCAGCCAGTACAGCGTTCCGTGGCCCCACAGGAAGCTCCACCGAAAGTCCCAGTGTCTCTGATCACATGCGTCCGCGCCACCCCATTCAGCGCTCCGTGGCCCCATAAGGGGGTTTCACCGAAGGTCCCAGTGGCTGTGATCACACGCGCCCGCGCCACCCAGTACAGCGCTTCGTGGCCACATACAGGGGCCCCACCGAAGGCCCCAGTGGCTGAGATCACATGCGTCCGCGCCACCTAGTACAGCGCTTCGTGGCCCCACAGGGAGCTCCACCAACGGCCCCATTGGCTGTGATAACATGTGCCCGCGCCACCCAGTACAGCGCTGCGTGGCCCCATGAGGAGTTCCACCAAAGGCCCCAGTGGGTGTGATCACATGCGTCCGCGCCACCGAGTGCAGTGATTCGTGGCCCCATAGGGAGCTCCACCGGCGGCCCCAGCGGCTGCGATCACATGCGCTGCGCCCCCCGGCACAGCGCAGGTGGCCCTGAAGGGAGCCCCACCGACGGCCCCAGCAGCTGTGATCACATGCGTCCGAGCCAACCAGTACAGCGCTCCGTGGCCCCACAGGGAGCTCCGCCGAAGCACCCAGTGGATGTGATCACGTGCGGCCGCGTTACCCAGTACAGCGCTCCGTGGTCCCATATGGACCTCCACCGAAGGCCCGAGTGGCTGAGATCACATGCGCCCGTGCCACCCAAAACAGCGCTTCGTGGCCCCATAGGGGGTTCCAGCGACGGCCCCAGTGGCTGTGATCACATGCATCCGCGCCACACAGTACAGCGCTTCGTGGCTTGCCCCCATGGAACTCCACCGAAGGCTTTTGCGGCTGCGTCCACATAAGCCCCCCTCTGCCCATGTCGGCATATCCTCACACGCCTCGTGACCCCACAAGGAGTTTCGCCTCATTCGCCCCACCTGCCTTGCGGTATTCGCACACGCATGTGATTGGATCTTTTGCCAGGATATGTTTGTTCGTCATTGGTCTCAATCTCTCTCTCTCTCTCTCTCTCTCTTTCTGTGTCTCTCTCACTCTCTCTTTCTTTCTATCTCTCTCTCTCTCTCTCGCTCTCTGTGCGTTTCGGCCAGGGGGAAGGGGTACCACGATCACGTCCTCCCAGCTCCGTTCGGGAACGACGGCGGCCCTTGTTCTCTGGGAAGGCAGCAGCTGTCAAGGACGGCCCCCCGAGGTCCCTGCAGGATCGACCCCCCCTCTGTCTGTCCCCTCTCCCTCATCGGCGGGCCGCGTCGGGAAGTGACGGGCTTCATTTCCTGGGAGGAGGTGGAGGAGGAGGAGGAGGAGGAGAAGGAGGAGGAGGAGGAGGAGGAGGAGGAGAGCAGCAGCAGGAGCAGGAACAGGAGGAGAAGAAGAGAGTGGCGAGGAGGAGGAGAAGGAGGAGGAGGAGGAGGAGGAAAAGAAGAAGAACAAGCAGGGAACTGGGGAGGCTTCTCTTGTCGACGCACCCTTTCCGTGGGGCCCTAAGGGTGCTAGTCCTTGAGGAGGACGCGGGGGAGGAGGGAGCGGAGGAGCGGGGACAGGGGGGGGGGCTGGGGGATGAAGCGCGTGTGGGACGGGGAGGGGCGGGAGGAGTCGGCGGGGGAGGAGAAGGGCAGGAGGGCAAGGGGGAGAGGGAGAAGGGGAGGCAGAGAGGGGGGACCGGGAGTGGGCGAGCGAGCGGAAGGGGGGGGGATCGGTGACGGGGCACGGAGGGTCAGGAGGAGGGTGTGAGCGGGAGAAGGAGAGGGAGAGGGAGAGGGAGAGAGGGGGGGAGAAGGGGCGGGAGCGGGAGGGTGGTATAGCTGTGCCATGGAGATTGAGTCATTGCCGCTCTTGTTGCGTACCTTCCATGTTCGATTGTCAGTGTCTTCCTCCCTCCCAGAGAGAAAGATATAGGGAGTGAGATGTAGAGTGAGAGAGAGAACCCAACGCAGTCATCGGAAGGCCGTAGAGGATCGTCCCTCCTTCTCGTCCTTCTCCTCCTCCCTCATCATCCGTCTCCTACTGGGGTTGGGATGTTGCTTGGCGGCATTGGTGGGAAGCTGCCTTCTTGCATTGAAATGCAGAGTGGATGATAGAGCAAGCAGGTTGCACCGTACCTCTTCCATAACGAGATCGTAGTGGGCATGCGGATGCAGCAGGAGCTCCAGATGGCAGCGGTCGCGAGGTCTTGGGTAATCGAGTGGCCGTCGGCCCATCCCGCCACCGTGCCTGCGTCGTGAGTAAGACGCGTGTTGGACGCACCTCCGGATCTCTTGGGATGCCTCTCGCAGGCTGTTTGGAGACTTCTTAGGGGGTCTCTCGAATGGCCTTCGGCCCATCCCGCCACCGTGCCTTGGTTGTGGGTATGAGGCCTATGGGATGCTCGTTGGGATCTCGTGGGAGACTTCTCGGGGGCCTCTTGGAGGCAGTTTGCACGCCTCTTGGGGGCCGTTTGAGGGCCTCCTTTGGGCCTCTTGGGGGACTCTTGGAGGCCTCTTGGGGCCTCCTGGGCGCCTCTTGGGGCCTCCTGGGGGCCTCTTGGGGCGAAGGCTCGGATTTTCGGTTCGTGTTCCCTCTTTTGGGCTCCTTTTGCGGCATCTTGGGGCCCCCCTTGGCCCTAGGGCCCTCTTGGAGGCTTCTTGGGGGCCTCTTAAGCCGTCTCAGGCCATCAGGAGGCCATCTCAGGCCGTCTTGGGTGCATCTTGGGCCGTCTTGGAGGCATCTTGGGGCCAACTTTGCCGTCTTGGAGGCCATCTTGGGCGTCTTGGAGGCCATCTTGGGCTGTCTTGGAGCCGTCTGGACAGGAAAAATCCTTTGCAACCGGATTTTCGGCAATCTCCCGGGACCCCAGCGGGACGCGCCGGAGCCCCAGGGGGAGTTCGCACATCCCGCCACCGTGCCTGGGTTGCGGGCCTGAGGCCACTCGGATGGCTAATGTGGTCTCGTGGGAGGCGTCTCGGGGGCGTCGTGTCGTTGAGGCAGTTTTTGAACCTCTTGGGGGCCTCCTGGGGGCTCGTAGGGGCTTTTTGCGGCCATCTTGGGTCCCTGGGGGTCTGTTGGCGGCTTCTTGGGGCAACCCGGAGGCGTCTTGGGGTGGAAGACTTGAAATGTCCGTTCGGGTTCCCCCTCTAAGCCCTCCTCTTGGGGCTGTCCTGGGGCCCTCCTGGGCCGTCTTGGAGGCTTCTTGGACCGTCTCGGGGCCCTCTTGGGTCGTTTTGGAGCCCTCTTGGGGGCCTCTTGGCCCGTCTTGGGGCGATCTTGAAGGCCTCTTCGGTCGTCTGGGACGTGGTGAACGCCCAAGAGGCGAAAATGCTAACAACGCACGTTTTCCAAAGGGAGTAGCACAATGTTTGTTTCCGGGGGCCCTGTTGGGACGCCTCGTGGGGGCTTCTTGGGGCGTCTTGGAGGCTTCTTGGGCCGTCTGGACGCCAGCGTCGGCGTTTTGAATCGATGTTTCAGCGACTCGTGGCACTCGTGGACTGCCCCAAGGGCCTCTTCGGGCCCACTTGGCCCGTTTGGGAGCCCTGCGCCCCCCATGACGCGTTCGGCCAGTCCCCGAGCACCCCCCCCCCTCCAAATCGACTGTCCGGGCTCCCGGGGGGAGGGGTTTGGGGACAGGGAAGCATCTCACACGCCGATGAAGCCATGAACCCCAAGGGGTCGCCGGATTATCTTCGCCCGACGTTGTCCTCGTTCTGGCTGCGCCTTACTCCACGGTTTCTTTCTGTCACCACCACCCCGAGCATTTTCTTTGGGTGGAGGGCAAAGGGTGAAATCTGAAATGCCGTTTCGATGGATGTTCGAGGCTTGAATATGCAAAAGGCGAATCACAAGACGGATTGATTTTCGAGGTGCCAAAGCCTATATGGATTTCACCCTGAGCCCTCCACCCTGAGAATATGCTCAGCCACCACCACCACCCAATTCTCTCCCTGCTGACTAGGGGCCCGGGCACCCGCCCCACTTCGAGGGGAGGTGGCCGCCCGGGCTGGCCCCCCCCCCCCTTCCTTCCACGCCTGCCTCCCCCCGTCCCTCCCTCCTGGCCTCCCCCCTCATCCCCCTTGAAGTCAAGTGCTCGCCCTCCCCCCCTTCTCATCCCTCCCTTCGCCCCTCCCCTCACCCCCCATGACGTCAAGTACTCGACAGGAGTATGTCAACAGGACTTCCCATGGGTTGTGGCCGAACGATCTGACTCGCAGGCAGCAGGCAGATAGCTCTGCCAGATAGTCGGTTGGGGTTCACTTCGGGACGGCGTCAACTCCCCCCCTCATCTCCCCTTGCGTAGAAAGTTTGGCTCAAGGTGTCGAGTTTCTCAGCGAACCCAGCGGATACCTTTGATCCGCGGTTTTCTTTCGCTTCTAGTTACTTCGTCTTGACCCGAGTTGTACAGTGGTCTGCCCCAGTGTGCGACATCCATGTCTGGCCAGCTCTCCCTGGCCAGCAGCCCTTTCGTGCTGCCGACTGGTGGGAAGAAGAGTCAGCAACATGTGGTGTGCGACTCGTGCCGTTACCGATGGAACATTAAGTTCGACTATTGGTGTTACGGTCGTTCCGCGCCGCTGGTGGTCAATGTTGCCCTTCACAGGCGCCCACAAGGTAGGTGGGCGTTCGGCCCCCCAGCGAGGGCAGACAAGGCTTAGAAGAAGTCTCCCCATGGTCGGAAGATCAGCAGCAGGCGGTGGCAAAGCCAACTGCACCGCCAAGCCAAGTCCGTCAGCCATGGGCCCATACCGGTTGGTGGATGGCTCCTAGGAGCAGTTGCGCGCGAAGCTCGGCGATAGCGAGGAGGTCACCAAGATGGAAGCCAAGCTTCGCGAGATCGAGTCGCCGCCTTCGCTTGCCCGTGCTCCGCCACCCGAACAAGAAGTTGCAGCCAAAGGGGTTGCTTGCAGGCGTGCGCAGGCATGGTTGGAAGCCTGCTCGTGTCGCGCTCTCGAAGCAGAGGCTTGGCTCCGCGACGCCGGAGTCAGCGAGGAGGCAGCATGGCGCACGGCTGTGGAGGCCAAGCAGGAAATATGAAGCTAGTGTTTCAGGCGCCACCGCAGATCCCCTCTTGCTGCCGCGGCGTCCGACATCAACCGCTCGACGCCCGTCGAAGACAAAGATGCAGGCCTGCGAGCCCGTGCCCGACGAGGCAGATCGTGAGGAGCGGGAGCGCGTCAAAGAACAATTGGCCCAGTGTCCAGGTTGAGGTCGCCAAGGCCCTCGGGCCCACTGCCCAGAACATTGCCTCTCTCGAGAGCGAGGCCCAGAAGCTGTCTGCCCGTCTGCAGGCCGAGCGCAGGAAGGGGCCCCCAGGCGAGCCGCCCCCCGAGGTCCGCTGGCGGCGTTGACACTCCTGCGCCCACTGACGCCGATGAGGCTGAGCCAGAGGATTCGACAGAGCTCAAAGCCGCGGCTCTCGCCACGGCAGAGGCCACCTTGGACGCGCAGCAGCAGCAGTCAGACTCGCGCGTTTGGCGCGAGGCCGCCGTGGCAGCAGGGCTTAGTCTTTGAAGGCGGACCGTCCCCTTGCGACGACGGCTGGTATTCCACCCAAGCCGAGCTCGGATCGGTGGCAATGGTTAGACATGCTTCCAAGGGAATCGATTCCCAGGGCGGCGAGGGCTCGGAGAGCCGCGTTGATGACGTTGCGGGTGGGCCCCGGGCTCGTCGTCTTGCGTCACAGCTTGTAGTGTGTGCCCAGGTCCCTTGGTACGCGACATGTTTGTATCAAGCAGGTTTGAACCTATGGGGCTTCGAGTTCTTTTCTTTCGACCTGCGAAGAGACTGATTTGGGCGATGAGTGCCGCCACCGTTTAGGGAAAGCCTCAAGCAGGACTTTGATCCAAGGCCCGGCTCCCCAGGGGGCGCCGAGGTCAAGGTTTGGCAAATGCTTGCTTCGAGCCGCATCATGCCCTCCCCTCTCGCTCGGACGAGCAAGGGATCCTGTTATAGTGGCGATCGTTTCCCTTCGGCCCGCGAAGAGGCCGACTTGGGCGATGAGCACAACCGCCGTTCGGGGAAAGCCTCAGTCAGGTTCTCGATCCAGGACCCAGTTCTCCGGGGAGCTGCGGTCAGGTTTGGGCATATTTGTCGTATCGCACCGCGCCCTTCCCCCCCCCTCGCTTGGGTGCGCGAGGGGTTCCCCAGGTGTGAGTTTGAAGTGGTACTCCTGCCTAGGGATCGCCCCTGCTTGCGGGCAGTTACAGGTGCCAGTGCGTCGCTGTCGCCTGTCGGTGAGGCGGCGCTGAATGTTGCCCGTTTGGATGTCAGGAACTGCTTGGCTGACAGATCGGCGGGCAACGGCATTTCCAGTTGGGTGGGTGGTATTTGCAGTTTTTCCAGGTCTGAAGGCGTCGGTGCCACCGCCGACGCAGTGTCAAGCAGCTGTAGCGCAGTCCTGGTTTCAGCCTAGTTGGGCTCGGTACTTGGCACCCCTGGCGTGGTGGGCAATGGAGATGACGTCGACGACGACTACAGCTCACCCTCGGATGTGGCGCATATCTCGAGGCATGGCAAGCGTTCTCGTTGCTCCAGGTGCGGGAGCTTCTCGACCTGGGGCAAACTTCTGGAGCGTTGCGCCGTTTAGTGTGTTTCGGATGCGGTCCAGAAGTGGCCTATGGACGTTGTCGTCTCGGTTCCAGGGCCCGTGGCTGTTTGTGGAACTCAGCCTTGCAGCTCCCACCCTCTTGGAATCTGGGATCGTTTCAGCATGTACTTCTGTCACCGCTGCGGTCGTACAGCCACCGTGGGCGGGCGCCAGCTTGCTGCTGCCTGCTTCCCCCCTTCGAAGAATGAGCGGGAGAACTAGGCCCGCAGCTCAGCTGGTAAGTTTCCAAGTTATGCTGGACCCCCCAAGACGGGCCCGACTGCTAGCTGGGAGCGTGAGGCTGCGGTGGTCATAGCACAGGCACCGGCCAGTCGCGATCTGCATCCGACGACATTAGCTGAGGCCTCACGCCCTCCTCTCTCCCTCTTTTTTGTCTGTCCCTGCACGCTGTGCTGTACCAGTGCTCCAAAATGCTGCCCCCCGCCCTACGTTCCTCCCTGCCCCTCCCTTTCCTCCCTCCTCGTCCTCTGCCTCCTCCTACCCCCCTGCCCCTCCCTTTCCTCCCTCCTCGTCCTCTGCCTCCTCGCCCCCCCTCCCCCTGGGGGCCGTCTACAGGCTCGTGTGCTCTCCCCGCCCACAAGGCTAGTATCACGTGGGACGCCTGTTGCTCTTGCAGCCGCTCGGGTCTGAACTGCGTCAGCCACCTGGCTCGGGAGAGACATTGGGTCCGAGATCCGACGGAGGCATCTGTACACCACCACCGTGCCAGGCCGAGGCCATCCTGGGCCTCAGCATGGTGCGTAGCCCCTTCTGGCCTCGGCCAGGATGGCGTATACACCATGCCAACGACCAGGATGGCCAGGGCCTGGCACGGTGGTGGTGTACAGATGCCTTCTGCGTGCGATAGCTCTCCTGGCTTTTGCCCTGCTCCCCCCTTCCTCCATCCCCGCGTCCCTCCCGGGCATCATTGCCTCCTCGGTCCATCCTTGGCCACTTTCGCTGGCCGCACCCCGCTCGAGAAGCCTCGAGACGGCCTCCCCAGGCCCATTCGTGCGTCCTTCTGGTACGGGCTCACTGCAGCTGGGGAGAGACGCTGGGTCCGATGGCTCCCTTGGCTGGTGCCCTGCTTCCCCCTGCCTCCGTCCCCGCGTCCCTCGGCGGGCCGCCGGCCCGCGTGCGGTCGCGCCCCCATATATATATACACACATATATATATATATATATATATATATACATACACATATATATATACATACATACATATATACACACATATATACATATATAGAGATATAGATATATGAACGGCATGCGCGCGCAAACCTCGCAGAATCTTCAGGAAACTGGCCTTCATCAGAAGATTACGTCCTAGGATACACCTGTTGTGATTATTTCTCCCTCTGTAGCCTGATCTCGCCTCTCTGCTGCCTCCAGATCAACGCATGTGATCATTTCATGTCGATTGATCCCCCCCACCCCCCACCCCCTATCCGCTTAGGAGTACACGCCGGAGGTCAAGTGCCCCGACAGCGCCGAGAGGCTCCCGTGGAGCGGAGGGCTGCTGCCGCCTTTGGGCCCCCCCAAGGGGGCAAAAAGCAGCTCACGGTTTACAAGGCGGAAGCTTGATCTGTTGGAGGTGCGCGAGGCTTTCTTGGATCGGCGCTGGGCCCCCCCTGGCGGCGCCTCCAGCGTGGCCCCTGGCGCGCTCCGCGCTCCAGGGAGGGGGGTCCAGCGCCGATCCAAGAGGTCCACGTGGCCTCCAAGAAGTTCTTCACGTTTCGCGTATCCCCACCGGCAGCATTCAGCGCCGACGGCCCGTTTTCCACCACCAGCAGCCGGTTCCCCAGGCTGGTGCCAGTTGTTTGTCTGGGGTGATGCTCGGAGCTTGGCGCCGCAAGGGCGACGTTCCGTAGCACCCGCACCACTGTGCGCTCGTTCTTTTGGACCGGGCGGCGCCTAGGTGCGTCACGGCGAAGGTGGGGCATTTTGCTCAGTGCACGTGCACCGCACCTTGTGTGCAATTAGCTTGTACCGCCGTCCCGGACACGCTTGTTGCCGCCAGACCGCAGTCGCCCGGCCGCCGACCAAAAAAGTATCCCCACTGGCCCATTCAGAGACCCTGACCTTGAGAGCTGACGGGTAAAGGAACGAAGAGACACATCTCGTGAAACAAAGCGAGCAACCAGGGTGTACAGAGAGATCTCTAGGGCTCTTTTGAGGGGTCTTGGAGTTATCTTGGAGCTCTTTTGGGGGGGTATCGGGCGCTCTTGGGACCCTCTTGGGGCCCTCTTGGAGCTCTCTTGGGGCTCTCTCGGGGGCCTCTTAAGAGCCCTAAAATGCTTCTTGGGGTTGCCGTGGAGGGTGTCGGCGAAAAGAAAGGGGTACTAACGTTTAGTCCCCCCTTCTGGCCCATCCAAATATTATCTTGGGACGCTTTTGGCCCCCTCTTGGGGCGGTCTTGGCGCCGTCTTGAGGGCATCTTGGGCCCCTCGTGGAGCTCTCTTGGGCCATCTTGGGGCCACCTTGGCGCCTCAAAAACTCATCGGAAGCGAAAAAGCGAGAAGGCAAAAACCACTGATGTCCCTTAAGTGTTTGAAGGAGTTTGGCTTCTCGGGGAGGTCCTGAGGGGTCTTTGAGGGCACCTGGAACGGTTTTGTGGCCGCCTTGCGGCGTCTTGGAGTCATGGTGGAGGTCATCTTGAGCGATCTTGCGCTATCTGGAGCCCTCTTGGAGGCCATCTTGGAGCATCGGATGCCCTCTTGGAGCCATCTTGGGCGAAGAAGGGCCCTCTGAGGACTCGCCACCCCCCGTCCAGACTCCTGGGAGGGAAGGGGGAGGATACCCCTCCCCGGCTTGAAGAGGGGCTTTGAATGAGGAAAGGAAGATTTCGTTAGACCACCTACGCCCAGAGAGCTGGCGGGATTATCTTTATGCAGTTGTGCATTCCTCCAAGATGGGGTCTCGGTGCGTAGATGAGGTCGGAGGACCGCGGCGCATTGAGGATGCATCACCGATGTGGCTCGACGCGGAGCAAGAGTTTTTCCACGCCAACTGCGCCGATGCGTCGCCGACGTCGGCGATGCATTGGCAATGCATTGGCGATGCGGCTCGTTCCTCCGACTCCATCTATTCGAATTTTATTTGAGTGACGCCAGAAAACGGGCTTGTCTGCGCCGACATTGGCGCGCAAGTTGCCCGCGTAAGTTCGCGCGTGAGTGCCCTCGCTTCCGATGCATTGGGCCGCGCTGGCAGCCCGCGCAAGCCGCCGCGTAAGGTCGCTATATGTCATCTCGCGTAAGGCACGCTTCTCTTCGTTGCCCATTTGGTAGCCCTCTATGTCGGCAGGGGGGTGGGGGTGAACCCGCAGGGGAACGAACAATGACATCAACGTAAAAACTCGGAGGTCCGCGCAGATGTCTCGGATCGGCGCTGGGGCCCCCTGGCGGCGTCTCCGGATCCGCCCCTGGCGCGCTTTGGGGTGTCCAGCGCGGATCCAAGAAATCCGCGCGAAGCGCCAAAAGTTTATGTTTTATGCCGTTTCTTCTTCATCTAAAGGTAGGAGGGTTGAGGACCAAGGAACGTGGTTTTTGAGCATCGTTTCCTCATTTTCCTGGTCTCGCGGAGGCCTTTGGACGCCTCCAGAGTCCCCGCGGGGAACCCCCATAGAGACCCTCAGGAGCCTCTGCGGGAGGAGGGGGAACCAGGAGGACAACGACGAGAGTACACCCGGGATGCGTCCACGATGCGGCATACACCCGCCCCGCATGCCCCCCTCGCCAGAAGTCCCGGCAGGCATTCCCCATCGCTGCTAGAGCCCCCTTGCAAGGCGAGCGCTCGATGGGCCCTGCCCCTCGGGCGAGAGCCCTGGTCTGCAGAGGAGTGGCCGTCCGCCCGTCCAGCTGTAAGAACCGCCCGCAGGATGAAAGCGACAACCCATTATCCTCGCTCTGAACAGGATCCGCCCTTCCTCCACGAAATTGTTTCACCGCTCGAGACGACTGGCCATAAAACCAGAGGAGGTACCAAGCGAGAGCCTCATGTTGAGCAGGGGCCGTGCGCGGTCCGCACCATCGATGCACAGTTCCCGAAAACATTGTCCTAAACCTCCGTGGGGCATCAAGCGAAAGCCGCATCCCGAGGAGGGACCACCTTCGACCCGTGTGCTTGCTGTAAGTTGTTGAGACGAACGCACGTTTCGCTAAGGCAGGGACAAATGCTTGAAAGCGGCCTCTTCTTAATATGTGCAAGCCCTGCGAACTGTCAGGACAAGTGTGCGCGGAGCTAAGGCGACAGTCGCAATTTGCCAACCGCATGCCATTCGTTCATGTAGTGGTTGAGGACGAATGCGCGCGGCGATCACGCGACAGCTCCATCTTGAAAGCCACCTTCGCATCCGCGTAACAAATGGGCATATCAAGCGATCACACGTTGTGATAATTTCTCAGTCGAAACGACAGGAATATTGCCAGTACGTCTGGTGGCACGACGAGACGGAGTCATCGGGTTGCCTTCGGACCCCTCCCGCCACCGTACTCGGACAATGCAGCACAGGATTTGGGGAGACCGCTTGCGGTCTATTGTGGAGCTTCTGGGGAACCCTTTGAGAGCCCTTGGGGCTTCCCGTAGGCCTCTTCGAGGTCTCTTGATGGCTCCCAAGGCGTCCATCTTGGAGTGGAGACGTCTACCAGTCTGGCAGCGGCGTGCTTTTTGACCCCTCCTGGGGCCTCTTCGGCCCCAGGGTCGAGGCAATCGTGGAGGCCCCTTGGGCCGCTTTTTGACGTGCGGAGGGAACTAAAGTCGCAGCACAACAGATTCGTTGACTTCGGTCTTGTGGGCCAGCCCCGAGGGCCTCCGAGTTGGCCCAGGAGACACCCCCAAAAACGGGTCCACGACGGGCCTGCGAGCCCATGGGGCCATCTTGTGCCATTGTGGAAGTTGGGCCCCTGACACGCACGCTGCTGGGGCTCCGGGAAAGGCCACGCGGCACTGCCCAGAAATCCATTCCATTTGGCACCTGGGGCCGTTGGATCATCAGCTTTGAGTTGGGAGCCGTGGGGATCTCCTACTCGGGCGAGTCCACTCTGCCCACTCGGTGCTTACGGGCATGGCTTCGGACGAGTATGGAAGCAACGTGGAGACGAGGCAGGACGAGGAAGAGAGCGGGAGAAGGGGAGCTCGAATGGTTCAGGCCTGCATGTGCCTCCGGGGGTATCCTCGTCGCCATTGCTGGGTTCGCCCCGGTCTCCTGGCCGGAACGTTCTCCATGTGAGGCTCGGGAGGATAGTTGAGGGGGCAGGGAATTTGTCATCCAGACGTCGCGGAAAATCACCACAGGCGTTGTTGGTCAGTTTCGGACCCAGGATATAGATTCGTTTCGAAAATTACGGTCGGGAACTCACGTCGTGAGTTTTCACGACATCGTGATTTTGCCCCATAAGCCAGATATCTGGGGACGAGGAAGGAGTCGCCGAGGGAGGTTGAGGAGGAGGAGGGAACGCCAGGATGAGAAGAATGAGGTTGAGGATATTGACGATACAGAGGAAGAAGAGAAGAGTGATGAGAAAGGGGATCATGAGGAGGCGGATAACGAGAACAATGAGGGGAAGGCCCTGGCTCGAGCGATTCTGGCGTCGTTTCTCGTGTCTGCGGGGTCGCAAGCCACCGCGCAGCATGATCATCAGTCGATGGCGGGACTTGTCATGTTTCGTTTCTCTTTTGCGCGCCATCGCTAGCCGAAGTTTATTACGGTGGAGGGCCGAGCGTTCGTTGGCGGCACGACCAACGTGGAGCTCCGTGTCGCAGGATGACTATTATGACGGAAGCGAGCCAGTGCACAGCATATGGAGCTATCACCGCGCCCACCATGCTTTGCTCGCCAGAGGGGGGGTGTGGCCTGAGGTCGACTTTCATGAAGACCAGGACGTTGCAGCACGCTCAAGTTATGTGGTTACCTCAGACGGCGACACAGCTTACTCGCCTGAAGCTCGGATGTGGGATCGCCCCGACTACATCATCACGCCTTACCCGCGGTTAGAGTCCGCGCGGATTGCTTCACGGGACTGTACCACAGTTACACAACGGTGGCAGCTGGGACAACTGGTGGGCAGACGTATGCAACGCAAGCCACACATCGACTTCTACGCCCTCTGTGGGTACGCCCCCGCCGACAAGCCCCAAGCACGACCTATCACGACGGTTGCCCACGCAGTATGCCGACGCGGCAAGAATGAGTTCTACGACAATGCGAATCGAGACTTAGGCTGCATTCCCTCTCGATGTGCACCGTCACTACATGAAGTGGGACATGCCAGCTCGCGGAGCAAGTGCCGACCACAGTGGACCGACAAGGGACAGCGTCTGCGTGGCACCATCCCCGAGTGCAGCTCTCAACACCTTTGGACCAGCAGCAGGACGCAGCACTACATGGAGACACCCCGATGGCCAGGGTGAGACAAGGACCGACTACATCGCTACCCCGCGCTGCACGGGCTCACAGGATCCCGCAAGGGTCATCCGTGAGACCCCGCTGACCCGGGACTCCTCCCGGGACCATGTGATCGTCGGGGCTTATGTACATGTGGGCCGACACTTCACCGACCGCCCAAGACACCGACGCCGACATGGCACCGACAACACATATTGAGCTCTCTGCAGGCTTGGCAGCGCTGGTCCACGGCAGAGGCGGAGGCCCCAGGCAGCGGCGGCCCAGTGACCACCGCCATCAGCGACGCCGTGCGCGTCCAGGACCGCGTGCACCACTCCATCGCCTCCATGGATCACCTACAGTTGGTGCCTGGCGCCTATGACGCCGCCGTGGAGGAGAACGTGGCCGAGAGCCGATTGCTGCAAGTCCCTGAGCCCGAGAGTAAGGCCAAGATGAAGTTGAACATGGACCGCGCGGTGGAGCCCCACGACTCCGAGGGCAAGACCGCCGCGGCGGAGGCCGCGGATGCGGACGAGGTGTACAAGGGGCACCCACAGGGCAAACACCCCGACGCCCTGTTCCAAGCGGTTCTGTACCACCTATAGCTGGCGCGTCGAGAGCACGGAGCCGCCCTGGAGGAGGACGTGACCGAGAGCGACCAGCGGCAGGTCCTGATGGCCTCGAAGGCGGCGTCCGCTGCCAGCGAGAAGGCCCCTCAGAGGAATTCGATCCAGGCATCGCGCTGCTGGATCGGAGCGACTGACCGTCACCGCGTGTTGATCGTATCCATCCCACAACCCCGTGGGGCGTTGAAGTGGCAGGAGCTTGCGGGACTTATGATCGACGACGACCATGCTCCTCGCACCACGCCGTGAACTCAAGGAAATGAAGTAGTAGACTGGGATGTTGGGTCTACGTCAGGTGAGTCCACCAGGTTGCATGCACCAGTGCTCACTTATTCAGTAAAGCCTGCTGCGGGCGCCTGGTTTAGTTTTGTGTGTTTTCAACGCTTGTGCCGCCTCCTCCGCCCTCCTTCCTTCTTGGCCCGCTGCGTTGGTGAATTTGAGTTTGGTTCGGCCGGCAGCCCTGCCCTTGTATAGCCTGGAGCGTTGCCGACTTCGCATTGCTGATAAGGGCGGTTCTCGCGATGCTGCACTATGCTTTTCCTGCGCATGATGTGTTGCGCCGTTTGAAAATCACTGCTCGCCGCCAGCCCGTGGCCAGAGGGTCGCGTGCTGATGTGTGGGCTTCCCACCAGTAAGCGGTGAGCTTCGCGTGTTGCGTCCGTGGACGCGCACGCGCGCGGGCCGACCTTGCGGTTGGTTCTGCGAATGTTCGCGGGTCTTTGCCCTGCGTCTTCAAAAAACAACGAGGGGAGACCGAAGACAGGCAGGAGAAGGAGACGGGGGAGACGGGAAGAGGGAGGAAGGAAAGGGGAGCGCGGGGTGAAATGGGGGAGAAGTGAGGAGGGCGAGCGGAAAGGAGGGATCACATGAGGAGGCAGAGGCAGGAGGAAGTAAAAGAAGAGGAGGAGGAGAAGGAGGAGCAGGGGGGAGGTGGAGGAGGAGGAGGACGACGACGACGAAGATGGAGCCGATGACGAGAAGCGGACGGAAGAAACAGGAGTCTGGGGGGACGGCGCCGCCTCATCTCCAGGTTTCTCCGTTTTCCTCCTCGACCCCCCTCTTCCGCCGATCTCTTTCAGGTCGCATCTTGCCACTACTTCTCCCCTCTCCAGTTCCCGCCTCCTCCTCCTCCTCCTTCTCATCATCACCACCACCATTATCATCACCACCAGCAGCATCACCATCATCATCAGCAACATCATCATCAGCAGCATCATAACCATCGTCATCATGGTCATCGTCACTGTCATCATCCTCACCTCCATCATCACAATCATCATCACCACCACCATCATCAGTATCATCAACATCACCACCAGCATCGTAATCATCAAAACCACATCCACGAATCATCGTCGTCAGCATCAGCATCACCACAATCATCATCAGCATCAGCATCACCACCACCGTCATCACAATCATCATCATCGCCACCAAAATCACCATCATCATCACCAGCAGCAGCAACCTCATCACCGCCAGCATCATCATCCGCATCATCAGCATCGCCATCATCATCACCAGCATCAGCAGCATCATCATCAGCATCATCACCAGCATCATCATCAGCAGCAGCATCTGCATCATCATCAGCATCGTCAGCAGCAGCATCATCAGCATCATCCTCCCTACCCCCCATCCTCCTTATCCTTAGCCACGTCCTCTTCCGTCCTCCGCTATTTCCCTCGCCGTTGGCCTCTCAGAAGGTTCCATGGAGAGGTAGGCTCAAGAACAAGAGGCTGTGGTGGAGGAGGGTGAAGCGGGAGACGACGTCGACGACGACGACGACCTTTGAAGGTCTCCAGAAGTATCCGGACTTCTGGAGGCCTTCGGAGGCCCAGGAAAGGCAAGAAGGGCTCAGAAATATCGATTATCATCCGTCTTCCCAGAACCCGACGTCGTGATTCGTGGAGGAGCAGCAAGAGGACCTGGGGCATCGGCTCATAGGTCCCAGGTCGACAGCGTGTGACGTTCCATTCCTTCTTCTCTTCTGGGGGGTGTGCGAACGCCTCCATTAGCCGCGACGGCCGTCGCTAGCCTGCGTTGGCGCAACAAGGAGGAGCAGGAGGAGGAGCAGCCGACGACGGAGCGCGATCCCGTTGGCGCCGAGAGAGGTTCCGAGGGGAGCTGTTCGGCGGCGAGTGCCTGGACTTCGGCCCGTACAAGCTGCAGCCCGAGCTGAGCACCATCCTCCAAGGCGACCGGGAGCTCCTGGACCACCCTAACGGACGTGCCGCGCCCGGCAGCCAGTCCTCCCCATACATCGGGTGGAGCCGCTTCGGATCGCCGTTCGGGCGATCCCAGTGGAGAGGAATCTCGTCAGAGTGAGGATTAAGGGCAGAAGTAGAAGTGGTGGTCGTGGGTGGAGTTTGCGGAGTAGGTGGGGGAGGAGAAGGAGAGGGAGAAGCGGAGGAGGAGGAAGAGAAGGAGGACGAGGGAAGGTGTTCCTCCTCCTCCTCCTCCTCCTCCTCCTCCTCATCCTCCTCCTCCTCCTCATCCTCATCCTTCTCCTCCTCCCCGGGGAGGAAGATGGAGGATCGAGGAGGAGGAGGAGGAGGAGGAGCACGAGGACGAGGGATCGAGGATCGAGGATCGACGAGGAGGAGGAGGACGAGGAGAAGGAGGAGGATCGAGGATAAGTTGTTTGTTTCATTCCGCGTTTTTGCATGCTGTCGGAGCTCTGGAGGACCGTGGAGGCTTCCGCGAGCCTCCGCATACCTCCAGGTTTCCTCTGTTCTCCGACCAGGAGGTCCTTTATTTCAGGCTTTGCATGTTCCTAAAAGGTTTTCGGGCCCCCAGGTGGTTATCATCGGCTGCGCCGCGTCGAAAGGCGTCTAGGGAATTCCGAATCGTCCCGAGAGCCCTCTGGGGGCTCGAGTCATGGTCCGAAGGCCTGGGAGGGAAGAAGGAGGAGGAGAAAGGGAGGAGGAGGAGCGCGAGAAGGAGGAGGGATGATTGCGACGTTTCCTGCGCTTTGGGGCATCCCAGGGGCCTTCGTGGCAACGGCTGGACGCAGCTCGAAAGATTGATCAGCATGGCGTTCGGTAAGTCCCCGCTCTCGCCCGCTGGTGTGCTCAACCCGAGATGACCGTTCACAAGACAGCGACGACGAAGCATCGGCTGGCCATCAACTGACGGAACGCGTCAGCCCAAATTGCGATCGGACGCAGTTCTCTCGAGCCGAGACCGTGTGACCCCAAGGGGCACGCCACGGCGAGAGTGCAGGGCGCAGAGAGCGATTTTTGCTCCCCCCCCCACACACACACACACTTGTGTTGTTTGGCGTCGCGGCCGTTCGCCGCGCGGCCACACGGCGGATTCAGGCAGGCGGGCGGGCGCGGGCCGAACCCTCACGCGGGCACCCAGCGAGGCGACGCAGGGCTCACCCACCGGAGGCCGCGCCGCGTGTGGATCCATGGGGGGTCAGCCACGGGAGGGGACGAGCGAGGGCAGACCACCGTCCACCTGCACAGCAAGGATGAGCAGCTTGCCGAGGTTACCCTGGCATCCTTGCCCCTTCGGCCCATCCCTGGCAACTTTCGATGGCTAGCCTCACTCGGACAGCATCAGCATGGCTCGTAAGGGCCCTTGCGTCCTTATCGTGCGTTCTTCTGTGACGGGTCGACTGCACGAGGGGCAGATCGGAGGGAGACAGCAGACAGAACAAAGCTGAAGCCGGGCAAGACGTGGCGCAGTGGCGAGGCCGCGGAAGCAAAGCAGTTGGAGCGACCCAGGGGGAACACCGAAGCAGGCGGGGATGGGCGCGGCGAACTACGACCGGGTGACTGACGGGCAGTAACGTTGGTGGACGAGGCCATGCAAGGATGAACGTGGTGGCGAGACATACGTACACACGTTTCCTCGGACGCGGTAATGGGTTGCAGACTCCGGTTGCTACGGGCCACGTCTGCACAGCAAAGACAAGCACACACACACACACATGCAAGCACACGCACAAGCACACACACAAGCACACACACACAAATGCACACACACACACAAATGCACACACACACACACACGCACACACCCACACACGCGCGCACGTACGCACACTCTCTTTTCCGTCGGTGGCCTGTCGAGCGGCAACGTTGAGAGTACTCCAGGGCAGGCCACGCCCAGTTCCACGGCCGCTCGGCGTTGCAGAGGGGGGGTCAGGACGTGGTTGACGCCAGGGCTGGACCTAAACGGTGTTTTGGCGACTTCGTGGGCCGTTTTCGTTTCGATGTCGTTTTGCGGTAAAGGCGGATTGAAGACACAACGAGGGAAAACGAAAGCAAAACGAAAACGAGAAACGCTGTTTAGGTCCAGCCCTGGTCGACGCCTGCGGAAGAAAGGCGCCGAAGCGCGTGCACGTGGAAGAAGGCGGTGTGCAAATCAGGCGAGCGGTCCCTCCCGAGTTGTGCAGAGGGGAGACACGCACGAACCTCGCGGTTCATGGCCCACTGAAGTGCACGAGTTGGTGACCCGCCGGTGAGAAGTGGCGACAGGGCAGCAGGTCGGCTGTAAGGGATGAACGTACAGTGCGCACGACTTTCCAGATCCGCACACGCACACATACGCGCGCGCGCGCTCTCAACGCCCAAGGGAAGTAACGGAGCATTTGTGTTCTCTGATGATTTGCAAGAGAGCGAAGCTGAGGAACCGTGTACCTTCCTACTCGCACGCCGCTGACCACACTGCTGAACATCACCAGGCAGTTGGAGAATGAGGTCTGGTTCAGCCCTAAGACGAGAAAGATTAATTTGCTGTACACGACCTACAACCCATCCTACAACACCATGACCGGCACGTTCTTGTTTTTTGTTTTGACCCGTTCAGGACACATATTCAAGGTTGTTGAGCCGATCACTGTTGTTATGGACGCCTACCCCACCTGGGGAAGTTATGTGCCCGACCTGGTCTGGTTCCTCTGCATAGTGAAGCTCGGGGCCGCGGAGTTCATTGAAATCTCCCAGTTCTGGCGCGAGTTTGGGGCCTGGGAGGGCACTGCCAGATATGCTTCTCCATTGAATCTCATCGACTGGTTGAACGCCACCGGCTCAGTGTCCAGATCCGCATCCACCCCGACCGAGCCGGCGTGATAGGGGGGGAAGGAGGAGGAGAGGACGAGGAAGAGGGGAGGGGAGGAGGGCGGATGAGGAGAGGAGAGGACGAGCAAGAGGAGAGGGGAGGAGAGGACGAGGAAGAGGAATGAGAGGAGAGGAGAAGACGAGGAAGAGGAGAGGGCGAGGACGAGGAAGAGGAGTGGGGAGGAACAGGACGAGGAGGAGGAGAAAAGAGGAGGGAGGATGAAGATGGGGGAGCAGGTCGGAGGGGAGGGAGTGTGGAGGAGGTGTCGGCAGGGAAAAGCCCACGCGAATGACAAGTTGGCTCGTTCTGGGCTCCCTCTTCTTGCGCCCCACTCCTGTTGGCCCTTCTCCTGCTCCTCCCCCATACCGCTCTTCCTCCACTCCCCCTCCACCCTCCTCCTCCCCTCTCCTCCTCCCTCCTCCCTTCATCCTCCTCCTCCGCCTCCACCTCCTCCTCCTCCACCAAGCGGCCCCGACAATCGGTGACGGGCAAGGACCTGGTCCGTGACAGGTTGTTGGGCTATCTTCGACCCCTTTGGAGTCGTCTTGGGGCCTTCGAGCTTCAGGGGGGCTTCAAGAAGACTCCGAGGGGGCCCAGCAGCCTGTCAACACACAGGGCCTCTGTTGCCCATAGGCCTCCAAAAAAAGGCTCTTAGCGTGTAGCCCAGTTGGCCCCCTCTACATGTTACGCCCCTGCACTCTCACACTGAGCACTTGATCTCTACACCCCACTTTCTATGAACCACGCTATGCCATATAGTATCACCTCGCAACTCTGTTCTTAATTACCTTATAATAGATGCCTCTGACAGTGCCTGACTCTAGTTTTTGATTGTGTGTTTTCTTGTTCTATGTATCTCTCTCTCTCGTTCTCTCGCTCTCTCTCTCTCTCTCTCTCTTCTCTCTTCTCTCTATTGATTGATATCTACACCGTCCTAGCTATTACTACACTCTCAACTCTCTACCAGAATCGGTAACCCAAAACCCCGGCCGCCGACCGAAATGGGGAGGAGACGTTCGTCTATGTTTGCAATGCTTGCTAAGATCCCTCCAGTGCAAGCACTGATGGGGGATTCTGGGCTTCGCTTGAAAACTCCCTGGATATCTTGGCATCGAAGCCTGGCAGGTCAAACTGTTAGACGGGTACTTTATATTGCACAATGCTGTATAGCACAATATAACGTGTTATTGTCTCATAGCGGATGCTATAGTTATTACGATTACCAGTGCCCATGTGCCTAGAATGTATCACCAGGTAACGCAACATCCGATTATGCAGTACACGATCGAATATGAATTATACATACTACAACACGATACACTCGGTTGTAAGAAAAAACACGGATACCATAGTTTAAAACGTACTAAAGAATACAAGGTGGCATGACACCGTACCGTGAAGTATGTTGTACTACAGCATAGAACCGAATGTAAATTGTTGGTAGACTGGCACATAATTGAATACAGTAGAGTACGACGTGTTGCCACATGTAACCCCTATGGCATAGTATAGCATATCATCGCATAGCAACAGGCATAATACAAAAGCATGTACCAGAATGCACGACATAAGAATGCCATAGTATATCACGCGGTACCCCAGGATGTACGACTGCATACTATATATATAGAGAGAGAGTATAATGTATGCGAATGTATTATACTAGGTTTGGGTATGTCACCCTACAACACAAACATTGTGCTGCCTCCTGTTTGTCAACGTCACAGAATATGGCACAGCACATCCTATCATAATAGAACACCACGTGATACAGCATATGATACGATGGCACAGTATACTGTGATAGTAGATCTTATGATTTGATGTCATATGGTATAGTACAGTATACCACTACACTATACAGACATCTGAGTAGGGGCGTACTATAGCATAACATAACAGTATAGATATATATATATATATATATATATCGGCGCACTGGGCCCGGGCGGCCTGGGGCCGCGACCCCGACCGCAAATTGAAGGTTCTGGGGCCCGGCCCGCTTGTGGGAGGCCCAAAATCGCTTCTGAGAGCCATGACACAGCTGTCACGGCGGCCCAATGCGGCCCCGAGTCCCCTCCACGACGCCCTCCAGGGGTCTCCGACGGCTCAAGATGCCTTCAAACGGTCCAAGTGGCGTCCACGACTTGTCAAGACCGCTCCAAGAGGACCCCCAAAAGGGCCCCGAGATGCAAAAAATCGACCCATTCACTCACGACCCAAGAGGTCTCCAAAATCGCACCGAGACTGCCCAACAGGGTCCCAGGAGGACCCCTAGACGGCCCAATAGGTCCCCAAGACAGCCAAGAAGTCCCGAAGACGGCAAGAGAGCCCCAAGAGGGGCTCAAGAGGGGGAACCCGAGCTGCCATTTCGAGCCCTCCGCTCGAAGGTGACCCCCGAGGCCGCCAACAGGCATGCAATAGGCCCCAAGAAGCCCCGGAAGGCCCAACAGAGGTCCCAAAGAATCACCCAAGAGACCTCAGGAGGCCCTGGGAAGGCTCCAGGAGACCCCCAAGAGGCCCCAAATCGGGCTCCGAGAGACTGCCAAAGAGACCCCATCACACGTCCGTGACGCTTCAGGCCCAAACCCGAACACAATCCCCTGATCGACCCCAGACCGCCGTCCTAGCGATTCCGGCGGCCCCGAATCGCCCCCAAGACGGTTTGGAGGAGTCTCCGACGGCCCAGAAAGGCAAGCACGCACGTGTGTAATATTGTCTGTATGTATCGGCAACAAGGGAGAGACGACACTCAGCCTTGGGAAGGGCTCCACCCTATGCAGCTGCATGTAGCGCAGGGCGCGGCCCTCTCTTCTTGCCCCCAAGGAGTCCCCACGAGGCCCCAGGGGACCCCAAAAAGCCCCCACGAGGCCCTCCGGGGCCTCGCGTCTACATCCTCTCCGAGATGCTACAAGGGGCCCTCATCTCACGATCCATGTAAACATCTGTAGAGAGAAAGAGAAAGAAAGAGAGAGAGAGAGAGATGCCTTGGGTCCATCCCGCTATCGTGCCTTGGTTGTGGGTCAGAGGCTTCTTGGATGCCTGTCGGGGTCTCTTGGGAAGCCTCCCGGAGAGCCTCTTGGAGGCAGTTTCGAAGTATGAAGGCCGTTTGGGGGCCTCTTGGGGCTTCTTCTGGGCCTCTTTTTTGAACCTTCTGGGGGCATCTTGGTGGCCTGGGCGGAGGGCTCGAAATCTCCGTTCGAGTCCCCGACCTTGGGTTCATCTTGGGGCCCTGTTGGGGCCCTTCTGGGCCATCTTGGGCGCGCTCTTACACCGTCTTGGGGCCCTCTTGAGCCATCTTGGGAATCTTGGGTTATCTTGGAGCGATCTTGGGGGCCGCATGAGCCGTCCTGGACGCTGCGGAAGCCCAAAGAGGCGAATCTGCATGTTTTCGGCGCAGAGTTTGCCGCTTGGGGCCCTCCAGGGTGCTCTTGGGGCCCTCTCGGGGCATTGTGTGGGCCACTTGGGCAATCTTGGGGCCACATGGGGCTGTCTTGAAGCTCTGTTGGACCCTTCCAGTGCCCTCGTTGTTTATCCGAAACAGTTCTTGAGACATTCTCGAGACTTCTTGGCAGCTCCTGAGAGCTCCGGGCAGCTCCTAAGAGCCCCTGGCAGCTGCCAAGATCTCCCCAGCTCCGAGGAATTCCAGGGAGCTCCCAGGAGCGGCTGGGAAAGTGGGGGTCCAGGCCCTGGACAACGATGATGATGCCGCTACTGCTCAAGCCTTAAGCCTCAATCGACGACGACGAAGACGACGACGAGGAAGAGGAGGAGGATGGTGGTGGTTGTGATGATGAGGATGAGGATGAGGATGAGGATGAGGAGGATGAGGAGGAGGAGGATGATGATGATGATGATGGTGGTGGTGGTGATGATGATGGTGGTGTGGTGGTGATGATGGTGGTGGTAATGATGCTGATGATGATGATGATGATGATGATGAGGATGAGGATGAGGATGAGGATGAGGATGAGGATGAGGATGAGGATGAGGATGAGGATGAGGATGAGGATGAGGATGAGGATGATGAGGAGGGTTATGATGTTCTGAATGGCGTCGGTGACGATGATGGTGACGATCAGGACCTTGACATTCATTGATTCATTGTGGTTCTAATTTCTTTTGCTATTCGATACAGCGGCCCCACTCGCTTGTGCACCCCCGCCCAGAAGGCGCTAGAACTTAAGCGCGCGCGAAGAGCGCACAATGGTTCTAGTGTGTATACATATAACGTAAATATATACACATATATGTATACCAGACGGGGCTAGGGCAAGGGTGAATCCGTCCCAGAGCGTTCCAGAACGTTCTCAGAGCGTTCCGGAGCGCTCTGAGAAGGTCGCGGTGCCCGAGACATCTTCCAGAGCCGACGGATCTCAGAGATTCTCGGTGTATCTTCGCCCGATGTTGTCTTCGTCCTGGCGTCCACTCAATATATATATATATATATATATATATATATATATATACACACACTTATATATATACATACATATATACATACATGCATGCATGCATGCATACCTACCTACCGACCTACCTACATACATACATACATACGGACATACATACATGCTTACGTGTGAAAGTAAATACATGTATGTATGTATGTATATATATATAATCCTATTCTTATTTGTTTACAAGCCAGGGGGAGTGGGAAAAAAACCGTCCTCTCCCCCAAGACTGGACCCTCAGGATTTCGTGTTTCTGGTCCCCCTAGACATCCTTGCCAAAAATCCCCCGGCTCGTCCCGGACCTCCCAGGGCGCTTAGCCGGGTCCTGCCAGCAGGCCCCACACGATCAGAGCGGTGATCAGAGAGGCCGAAGAGAGACCCAAGACAGCTCCAAGAAGGACCCAGATGGCCTCCAGAGGCCCCAAAGACGGCCCAGGAGGCCCTCATGAGGGCTCCCAGACTGCAGGAATTCCTTCATCCCGTCAGCACATTCGCTGTTCGGG